CCTTCCTTCCTTCCTTCCTTCCTTCCTTCCTTCCTTCCTTCCTTCCTCTTCAAAAGGGGAGACACTATAAGGCCTTTAAAGACTCATCCAGGCCTGTCTGCTTGCTACTGTTCAACAGCAGCCACTCCACAAAACCCAGTGTGATAGGGTTGCCAGGTCCTCCCTGGTCACCGATGGGGGATGTGGGGGTGGGGCTGTCAGATCCAGGTTGGGAAAGTCCTAGAAATTACAGTTTCTGTTTTCTAATTCTTGTCGGGGGGGGGGGGAGAACAATGCTATACAGTCCAACCTCCACAGGAACTGCTCTCTGTAGTCTGGAGATGAACTGTAATTCCGGGGAATCCCCAGGTTCCACCTGGAGGCTGGCATCCCTAGCACTGATATAGCAGCTAGAGTTTTAGACTAGGATCTGAGAGACTCGTGTTCAAATATTCAGTCTGCCATTGAAGCCAACTGAGTGACCTTGAGCCAGTCACAGTCTCAGCCTAATATACCTCACAGGGTGATTGTAAGGATTAATTAATTAAATTATCATATAGCATTGTGTGTAGAATAGCTAAGAGATCTGAAGATTCTCTGGCAGGTGCAAGTTCTAGCTCTTAGCATTATGATAGTGATGAGCTAGACTTGTTTATAGGGGATGAGAGAGCTCTGAAAGAACTGTGACTGGCCCAAGGTCACCCAGTTGGCTTCATGTGGAGGAGTGGGGAATCAAACCTGGTTCTCCAGATTAGAGTTGATGGGCTGCAGCGTGGGGAGCTGGGGGCGGGGCTTGCTGAGGGCCTTGCTGCCACCACCATTTGTGCCAACTCCTGGGCTCTCGGAGCGGTGCTCCAGTGTGCTCCGGCCCCAAAAGACCCCTGGTGGTGGAAACAACTGAGAAAGTCCTCGTATACTGTTGATTCTACCAGAGCATTTGAAATGTATACATTATCCTAATTATATCCAAGTACTGTTAGCCAAATTGCTCTATTTCTTAATAATGGATTGGGAATTATGATATTAATGAGCAATGGGCATAGCTATAGGATCAGATCTGGGTATACTGGACTGCCAGTTGGTATCAGGGCAGAAGCACATGATCTGAGGCCATGTGCTTGATGGATATAGACAATGGAAAACAATGCAGACCAATGGAAGGTCTTGGGGGCTGGTCTCAAGTGAGAACAATAGATTTCCTGGACCAATGATGAGTCCCAGGGGTGTGTGGCATTAGGATGGGCAAGGCCTAGATGTGACCAATGAGCTCTCAGAGGGGCAAAGTCTGGCTTTAACAACAGAAGTCAGGTGTTGGATGACTGTACTGGGGTGGCTCCAGTTGGAAGAAGTGATGTTTCTTAATGTGTGGCAGGATGAACCTGAATAAGTGACCATTCACTAGACATGGAAAGTTAATGTTTACCTTGATAGGTCTGGCATAGGTGTAAGAATGCAGATATCTTAGACAAATATATGGAGATAGGAATGAGAGGATTATTCCGCAACACACTTCATTCATGACAATAACGCAGACCAGAGGCTTTTTGTCCCTGCCTGCGTGTACATTTGACAGACAAAAGACTAGCCATTTGGTCAGCAGAAGATGCTTGAGGCAAGGGCAGAGACTTGCCCATTCCAGTCCTCTTTGGACTAAGCTGACAGGATAGATGGGGGGGAGGCTTGCTTGCATGGAGAATGTTTGGCAGTACAGGCAGCATGGAATTCTCTTTGGCCTGAGGTTTCTCAGCCAAGATGTGGTTCTCCTAACCTCCCAGCAAAAGCCACTGTTTAAGCTAAGCCTGGCTTCATAGGACACTGCTTGTGGAGGTTCAGAGGTTGTTTTGTTGTGTCTCTCTCTCGGGAAAGACCACCCCAAGTTCAGGGCTGAGGATGCTGGCAACAGTACCCAGGTAGATCTAACCATTTTTATATTTCTCTCCTTCTTGAAATTCGCTGTAATGAGATTACTTTTTAAAAAGTCAGATTTTGTGCCCAGGCATGTCTAATTAGAACAATACAGTTTTGTTTTAACAAATTTTAATCAAGCATTGTATTTTATGCCCAGTTATGGCATGTAACCAATGTAGCAAATTTAATCAAGGTAAAGTTTGTTGATGATTTTGATTCTGTTCTCTGCTCCTGGATCATAATAAACTTGACTTGACTTGGAATAATTCTTGGGCAATTGTAACATCATCTGTAAAAGGAACTATGCTGGAACACCCTGAACATTTCTTCTGTAGCTTAAAAATATCATTTATGACAAGTCAGTATCAAAATTTTGGTACTGAACCTGGAACAGCTTTTCTAAGCTTTTCTAAACATCTTTGTTCACAGGCTCTACAGCAGCTCTTTTTTCAGGTAAGTTTGGCTCCTTTTTTGTTGTTGGCTGAGTTTACTAAAGACTGTTATCTTTTTCAATGCACCTTTGTAAAGATGTTGTTATTAGGAAATAAATGTAGTTATCTTTTCCTTTGTATTTCCATGAGAAGCACATTGCACTGAGACATTCAAGAAACCCACTTGTGAGGGGGCAATACTCCAAGCCAACCACGTGCAACTAAAAGTCTCTTTGGTAGTCCTGAGGCAATGCATTAACCATTAATCCATATTGCTATGTGGAGAATGACCATTTCCTCATTCTTTAACAGGTCTTAGTCTTCTGATGCAGGAGATGAGAAGTTTATTTATTCTACGCATTGGGTGAAAACTTTATATCCCCACTCAATGTTGCATTAAAACTTTAATTTATAATTTTATTTAGAAATTCTTGAAATGATTAAGTAAACAAAAATCACAAAGGTACAGAAAAATGAGCATATGTCAAGGAGATTAAAAGTAAAGAGACATACATGCAATTTCTTATTCTACCTAATTTAAACTTAAAATGAATTGTGGTTTCTAAGATTCTTATCAGAGCCTTTGCAGAAAATGTAAGATAATCTAACTGAATTCCAACTCTGAGAAATTTGAGGGTTACCAAGGTGTGGTTACCTTATATAGACACAGTCCTGTGAGCCAACACATGGCTGGAGTAAACCTTTTGATTCATAACCTCTACAGGTGTGATATAATGTGCCTTTGAGCACACAGTGATACTTCCCCAATGGAATATTTGGAAAAAGCCCTGTTCTGTCTCTGGGATTTTTTACCTTGGCACTGACTCAATTTACTGATAATTCAGTGTAACACACTACAAAATAGCTTTCAGCAGTGGACAGCAGATCTGCTACGAGTTGGTCTGTGAGTTTCCAAGGGTGACACTCTGAATATCTAGGGTAGTGAGGGCAGAGAGGGATGAGCCAGCAGGTGAGAAAGCTTTCCCTTCCTTTCCCAAGAACCTTCTGCTTCTTTCCCAGAGAGCCACAGTGACCCAATAGATACAGCGTCAGCCTAGAATTCTGGGTGATCAAGATTCAGATCACCATCACACTATGGAATTTTGCAGGGTGACTTTGGACCAGTCATGCTGTCTCTAGCCTAACCTTCCTCAAAGGGTTGCTACTGTGATAAAATAGAGGAAGGGAGAACTATGTTTTCTGCTGCTTTTGGTCCCCATTGGGAAGAAACATAGATAATAAATACATGCACTGGGGTTCCCCCCCTTTCTTTCAGCATTATATTCCCAGCCCATTTTACTTCTGCAGAGCACAATGAAATATTGCATTGGGGGGGGGGATTGTTTTCTTCCCTGCCAGCTAGTAAAAAGGAAGACCATGCCCTTATTTATCAGGTGGGACAGCTTATGTCCTTAGATTCATAGTGCATGGGATGGGAAAGACTAATAAAGAGATATCTACAACCTGGATCTCCAACTGGTTCAGAATGCGGTAGCACAAGTCCTGGTGGGAATGCCATGGGCAGTACATATTTTGCTGTGCCAGCTATACTGGTTACTGGTGGAGTACTGAGGGTGGGAACACCATGGGCAGTACATATACAACCTTTGCTGTGCCAAGCTATACTGGTTACTGGTGGAGTACTGAGTCAGGCTCAAGGTATTAGTGTTGATTTTTAAGGCCTTGAGTGGTCAGGGACCCACGTACCTTCAGGACCGCCTCCTCCAATATGTCCCCAGAAGAGCTCTGAGATCAGCTGATAACAACTCACTGGTGATCCCTGGCCCTATGGAGGTCCAGCTGTCCTCAACCAGAACTAGGGCCTTTTTGGTCTTGGCCCTGACCTGGTGGAACTCTCTGCCAAATAACATCAGGGCCCTGTGGGACCTGATGCAATTCCGTGGGGCCTGTAAGGCAGAGATGTTCTGCCAGGTTATTGGATGAGGACAGCAACAGGTAAAACTGGCAACCTCCTTTTTTACTTTTGGCCTCATCAGCCCTTCCCTGCCTTGCTGCGCAGAGAGCATGGCAGCTGGCAAAAAAAGGGGTTGATCGCCATCTGGATGGTTGTTTTATTAGTGCATTGTAATAATTTTATCATGTTGATTGTATTATCTGTTTTAATGCTGTAAATCACCCAGAGTCTGCTTGTGGGGTTGGGCGATTTAGAAAACTAAATTATCATTGTTGTTGTTGTTGTTCTTGTTGCTGTTGTTGTTGTTGTTGGTGGTGGTGGTGGCGGCACCATTGCTCCTTTCAACTTAAAGAGCTACATAAAAATATCAATAGATCCCTGCACCTAAGGAGACTACAATTTCATGTAGGCAAAGGGGAACAAATATCAGCCCCTTTAGATTTCCTCTGTAAGGAAGAAGAGGAGGAGGACGACAAGGAGGAGATTAGATTTATATCCGAGCTTTCACTCGGAGTCTCAGAGCGGCTTATAAACTCCTTTCCCTTCCCCCTCCCCACAACAGACACCCTGTGAGGCTGAGAGAGCTCTTTCAAGAGCTGCTCTTTCAGGAATAGCTCTGACAGAGCTGTGGCTTGCCCAAGGTCATCCAGCAGCTGCAAGTGGAGGAATGGGGAATCAAACCCAGTTTTCCCAGATTAGAGTCTGTGCACTTAACCACTATACCAAACTGGCTCTCAGGAACAAGGGTAAGGATATGGCAATGTCAGCCTATGTGCATTCTTTAGGATGTATTTTAGACCCACTGCATGCACAAGACCATGTACAAAACAACTGTTATATTTTCTTCAGACAGCAACACTGCTTGTCTGTGTTAAGAATTGTGGGAGGAGTCTCCCTAAACATTATATGAATGTTTGCATATCACTCATTACAAGGATAATACATTAACAAATTAAAAGAGTATCAGGAAGGGAAGAAATCTGGCTCTTCAAATGTGTCTTTGCTGGAAGATTTTCAAGATTCTTATTTCCGTACACACAGGAGATTGCCACATTTTCAAAAAGAGACCCAAGGTTCTCTTTGTATTCTGACACGCAGGAAACCCATTCTTTGACTATTTCTAATTAAAATGGGTTGTGTGCATTAGAACTAAAAAATTAATGATTTTCAAAAACAAAAAGGAAGGGGAAAAGTTCTACTGTTGCAGAAGTTGTGTATCAGGAACTTAGATTTAGACCGGCATGATCAGCAACTCAAAGCAATGGCTTTGGTCAGGATTCCGACAACATTGAAAGGTCTCAGTCTAAACACACAGAGAAAACTTTTTTCCATATCAAATATGTCTTTAATTAAACTTTTACTTGGTCAGTTTATAAATATGAGACTCATCACATTCATACTGAGGTTTCCTATAGGTTAAATTTTGCTCACGCTGAAAATGCTGGTGTAGTTTGGGAAGGGACTCCCACATTGCAACCACTTGTGACTTGAATGACATTATAAGAATCTCTGTGGCCCATTACTAAAAATACATGGAAGGCCTAAGCAACTACACAGTGATATCTGTAATTTTATTAGTGAAGAAAGTATGTTTGTGACCGATTATCAAACATTAACCTCCCTCAACATTTTATTACTTCTAATTCCAATTATCTCCTACCAGCTGTGGGTTGAATGCTGCTGCAAGGAGGGGCAGAATAAGTACCCTTTTTTGGTGGGATATTTTGAAACATACACATCAGTTTCACCCTAACATGGCAAAATAGTTTTTGATGCATCTAAATTTAAGCAGAAAATTATTATTCAACAGATAATCCCTAAAATTCACTTTGAAATTAAGTTTATATTGTGTAGTGGGTTAGCCGCATGGAAGACCCGCTGAGGCACACATGATACCCTGCACGCTTTACTGGTACACAACAAAGACAAACGGCCGGCTGGCCAACTATATACACACCTGGGGACACACCCCTAGGTCCTGTTAGTGGGTATAAATCTCCTGCCACGGTCCCATTGGTCCCCCAGTGGAGAGACCAGGAGCCTCGTCCCCATTGTTCTTCCAAAGTCAAGCTTTGGGGTATTCGCTGGCCCCTGGTGGCGGTCAGCGGACACAACAGTTTACATTAAAATATTAGATAAACATTATCTAACTATTGACAAGGAACCCCAGCTAGTGCAAAATGAGGCGGCACACCTGCTGACTGCATTGACTGTGCAGGAATCCATTTGGCTGGCGCTACACCAATTACACTGGCTACTTATTGAGTACGGGATCCATTTCAAGGTGTTGGTACTGACCTTCAAAGCCCTGCACAGCCTGGGACTGACATATCTGAGGGACCGCCTCTCCCCATATGTGCCCCCGGAGAGCTCGGCCGACCAATATCTGCTGGTTATCCCTGGGGACATCTGCTTACCCTCAGCTAGGGCCAGGGTCCTAGCATGGTGGAACATACTCCTATTTCAGATCAGGGCCCTGCAGGACCTTATACCATTCCACAGGGGCTGTAAAACGGAACTGTTCCACCAAACCTTTGGATGAGGCAGTGAGCACCCAATCAAGTTGGCCTCCCTTCTCGAAGCTCTCCAGCTCTGTGCAGCCCAGACTGAGCAGATCTTTAGTGGTCCAGCGGTTCCAGCTTCTGAGACTATTGCACTTTAATTGATAGTGCTACCTCTTTTAATTCATACCTTTTAAACTGTTTTAATTACTGAATTGTTGTGTTTATATTATTTTATATTGTTGTTGTGATCCGCCCTGAGTCCATTCACAGGGAGGGCAGAATAAAAGTTGAAATAATAGATAGGTAAACTTTGGCATTAATAGTGACGTTACCTTGACCAATTCAATTAAATCAAATAACACTTTCTTTTTTTTCTTTAAAGTTCCCTATGAACACTCCTTAAGATTAGTGAATGGAGCCAACAGGTGCACAGGTCGTGTTGAAGTATATCACAATGGCACATGGGGAACAGTCTGTGATGATGGCTGGAGCATAAATGATGCACAGGTCGTGTGCCGACAGCTCGGATGTGGATCGGCGCTATCAGCACCTGGAAATGCCTTTTTTGGTCCAGGTCCAGGCCCTATTTTGTTGGATGATGTTAATTGCAGTGGAAATGAATCCTCCTTGTCTCAGTGCCCTCACGCACCTTGGGGCAGACATAACTGTGGTCATCAGGAAGATGCTGGTGTCACCTGTGAAGGTATGGCTACACAACAACCATTTCTCTTGTAACTTCAGTTATGTTTTCTCTTTCTTGTCAATTCCTTGAAGAATAATATTAAGGAAGTACAAAGGCAAATAAATAGTGCTAAGTACAGTTTTAATTTGCCTTATAAATCAAATATCTTTTAAAGTCCTTGAAGTGCTCTCTTGGAAATTAGCATGAAACATCTAAATCACATACCTTCGTTACCATTTATAATTCTTAACTTTAATCTTAATGCAGGATGTAGTTCTAGTCACCAGGAATAATAAAATTTGTAATGTGTAGTGCTTGTATTTATGATATAGAGACATTTTATCCCTTGATATTAATATTGATAGAGAACTGATAGTGTAACGTGTCCTAAGAACACTTGAATGTTGTTATTTCTAGAACTGGATTTACAATGTTCAGTGGCACCTTTAAGATCAACAAAGTTTTCTTTAAGGTATGGGCTTTCGTATGCATGCACATTTTCTCAGATTTCTTGAAATGAAAGATAATAGTTCATTGATATATGTAGAGGGTGAACTACCCTCTACATATATCAATGAACTGTTACCTTCTATTTCAATGTATCTGAGAAAGTGTGTGTGCACGCAAAAGCTCATACCTTGGATAAAACTTTGTTGGTCTTAGAGGTGTCACTGAACTCAAAGTTCATCCTAAAAAGAATTAGTCCTCTCAGCCCTTTGGCTTCTGTAAGTATGAAGAGTAAGACTCTGTTTAGGACTGCATGGTTATGAACTGCTATATGTATTGTTTCATGGCTCTTCATAATGAAGTTGTTTTATCATTCTCATTCTTCTAGTCTTCGCTGTAGACCCAGGAATATTACAGATTCTCTGGCGGGTTTTGTTAGGCAGTTTGGCAGGTCATTCTGAGGGGTGTTTCCCCTGTGTTTGAATCTTTAATATATTAATTTATCGTTAGACATATAGCTGTTTTAGCTTGCGGTGCTTTTTTAAATTCAAACTCATTTGGAGAATTATTAAAGAGATAATGCACCAAATGGACTTTGACATTAACTTTATATGAGATGTTGAGGTGTTCTCACACACCTTGGGGTGGCACACATAACTGTCATCATCACAAAGATGTCATCTGTCAAGGGATTACAGCCATGTCCTTTTTGACTTAAGTTATCATAATGTACCATTATGTCTGTATGGTACATAATAAAATACATTATGGAATACCTAAACAGCTATAGATATCTCCACTTTTATCAACAAGAGAAACATGTTTGGAACGAATTATCAATCATTAATCACCCTCAGCAAATGTCATTGCTCCCTATTTATGTCAGAACTTTAGCTACATTGTGGGTCAAGTTTTTAATAACACATTTTCCCTCTAAGTGGCAAACTTGTCCAGCTAGGTGAACATAGGTCCCGTTCACACGAGGGGATTTGGGCCAGTAGCGGGACAGTTCGGGGGCGGATCAAACCAGTGCGATCACACCACAACATCTGGGAAGCGTGGTGCTTCCGTCCCCGAACTGGCCCATCCACTCGATGATCCAGATCAAGTAGGAACCACCTACCGAGGTGGTTCATCTCCCTGCTGCGCCGCAAACCGGGAGTCTGATCGCCGGCGCAAGGATGCACCGGCGCGTCCCCGGCTACGAGCCGAACTGCGCATGCTCGGACATGTGCAGTTCGGCTGGCTCGGCATCACGCTTTTTGCCGCTTTTTCCCCTGCCGTGTGGCAGGGACCATAGAGAATTTTTTATAGCTTAAATAGTTTGATTTGTTCATTTTTTTCTGTTATTGACCTCCTGTAAGACAGGCAATATAATTGATCAGATAGTTGTTGAATTCTTCATGACCATATATTAATTTTTATTCTATATTACTGTAAATTTTATGTTGTTTTTATGTAAGCTGCCCTGAGCCAGCCTAGGCTGGGAGGGTGGGGATGAAATCTAATAAATCAAATCAAATCATTATCCCCCCTTTTTTTAGCAGGAAGAGTAACTCCTAGTGCATCACCTGTTGTACAAACATCCAGTAAGTCATTGATCCTTTTTATTTATCAAATTTGTTATGCATTCAAACAAGCACATTCCTTACTGTCAAAGGGACTAGTTTCTAATATTTCATTGCCAAGTGATATATAGATTTTAATAGTTATTTAATTAGTATATTTTTATCCCACCTTTGCTCCATTGAACTGAAAATGGGTACATGGTATTCCCTTTATTTTATCCTCACTATAACCAATGCTCCCTCTAAGCTTTGGAGTCTTGTGAGCAAAAATTCTACTTTGTGAGCGACTGGCATTAAAGTTGTCAGCAAGTGATTTGGCTACTGCATAAATTAGTTTATTCTGGAGCCATCCTTCCTGAGCTAAGACAAAAATGTGTGAGCTGGAGGCTAAAAAAACCTATGAGCTAGATCACACTAACTCACCTTAGAGGGAACACTGACTATAACCCTGTGTGGTAGTTGAAACCGAGAAGGAATGTCTGGCCTAAGGTCATTTTGTGAGCTTCATTGCAGTGGGGATTTAAACCTGGGATTCCCAGATCCTAGCTTGACATTTGTGATGCACCCTGTGATACAGACCTCCTCCCAACCTGGAGAAAGGGAAACTAACTAGAGGTGCTATGGGCTCTTTCTTTATCAAATCCCAAATGCACAACCACAATCTTCTAAAAGAAATAATTTATTTTACAAGAACAACAATCTGTACTTTCAAGAATCCAAAACAGAAAACTTAAAAAAGGAACCCAGCCACTTGAACTATCTCACTATTATCTTTCTCTTAAGAGTAATAAAGTTTTAAAGAGCAAGATGTGATTACAACTGAGCACCACACACACCCTTTTTAACTCAAATTGGAAATATTAAGTCCTTAGATTTCCAATATACTAAAATGATATACAATAACCAAGGATTTCACCACCCATTACTGTTTACCCAAAGGTATATAATAATCAACATATGTCAGGTGACAAATAGTATTGTCATGTTATTACAATCAACAGCTTATACACAATTACATGAGATATGGCTAATAGACATTAAATAGACATTAAAATACAAACAGACTCAATCATATTCTGTAGTCACCATGATAACCATGTTGTTACAATCAACAGCTTTTACACAATTACGTGAGTTATGGCTAATAGACATTAAAATACTAACAGCCTCAATCATATTCTGTAGTCACCATGATAAAACAGTTACTATTATATTGAATAGTTACTTTAATCCTAGGGACTTTAAATACTTCTTTCCCATCTCCCTCCAGAGTTTGACATCCATCTGAGTAAAACAACAATCTCTAAATAACAATTTATAGCTGGTTGGCCTAATTCCTTAATTCCCCTTGATTTCTTCTCTGGCCACCCTCATTGGTTTTCTGTTGACTTCTATTTGTATTAGACACAATTTGTGCAACTCTATACAATGTCTGCCCAATTATGAAATTAGAATGTTCACCTTTATGTACAAAAATTCAAAGCACTCCCTCCCAAGTCCCAACAATTATACTTTAATGGCAAATATACAATACACTTTGACTCCGCCTCTGTGTCATAAGTGCATACTTGAACTAACCCTTGGACAGGAATAGGATATCTCTCTGAGAAAGCTTTAGAAATACTTTAGAAATCTGCCCCTGTATCCTTCTGAGCTGTAATTCTAACACCATCTGCTAGTTCAACAAAATCCTCCCTCATTTTGCTCGCCCATTGTTTTTGCTGTGGGGAAATAAAAGTCCTAACACTCTTAAGAGGTAACAATGAAATGGCTTAAATTTTTTGACACAGGCACTGAAGCTTTTGAGCATTTCAGCAGCCTTGTTCGTTCCACCTCTCATCCTTGGAATACATGGGGAAAGTGCAAAATCCCTACATACAGATTTACATGGGAGTTGCCCCATTGGCTTCAGTACGTTTACTGAAATCAGTTTCGTCCTAACATGGCAAAATAGTTTTTGAAGCATCTAAATGTAGGCAGAAAATTATTATTAAAGAGATAATCCTTAAAATTCACTTTGAAATTAACTTTACAGAAAACGTTACCTAACTATTGATAAGGAGCTCCAGCTATTGCAAAATGTGGCGACGCAGCTGGTGACTGCATCGCCGGTGTGAGCATGCATTTGGCCATTGCTACACCAATTGCACTGGCTACCAATTGAGTACTGGACCCATTTCAAGGTGTTGGTACTGACATTCAATGCCCTACGTGTCCTGGAACTGACATATGTGAGGGAGCACCTCTCCCTATATGTTCCCCAGAGAGCCTTGCGCTTGGCTGACCAATATCTGCTGGTTGTCCCCGGCCCAAGGGACATCTGCCTAGTCTCGAATAGGGCCAGGGCCTTCTGCCCTGTCCCCAGACTGGTGGAACATGCTCCTGCTTGAGATTAGGGCCCTGTGGGACCTTCTATCATTATGCAGGGCCTGTAAAATGGAGCTGTCCCACCAGGCTTTTGGATGAGGGAGTGGGCACCCAATCAAGTTGGCCTCCCTTGCTGAAGGTCTCCAACTCTATGCGGCCCAGACTGACCAGAACTTTAGTGGCCCAGCGAATCCATCTTCTGAGACTATTGCACTTTGATTGAAAGCATTTCCTCTTTTAATTCAGACTTTTAAAACTGTTTTAACTACTGAATTATTGGGTTTATGTTATTTTATGTTGCTGTGCTCCACCCTGAGCCCATTCACAGGGAGGGAAGAATAAAAGTTAAAACAAACAAACAAATAAAATAAATTTGGCAATGATGGTGATGTTACCTTGACCAGTTCAATAAAACCAAGTAACACTTTCTTTTGTTTTTAAGTTCCCTATGAACATTCTTTGAGACTAGTGAATGGAGCCAACACATGCGAAGGTCGTGTTGAAGTATATTATAATGGCATGTGGGGAACAGTCTGTGATGATGGCTGGAACATAAATGATGCACAGGTTGTGTGCCAACAGCTTGGATGTGGATCAGCGGTATCAGCATTTGGAAATGCCTTTTTTGGTCGGGGCATAGGCAGTATTATGTTGGATGATGTTAATTGCACGGGAAATGAATCCTCCCTGTTTGATTGCCCTCATGCACCTTGGGGCAGACATAACTGTGGTCATCATGAAGATGCTGGTGTCTCCTGCGAAGGTATGGCTACACAACAGCCATTTCCCTTGTAACTTCAATTTTTTCTTTCTTTCTTGTCAATCACTTGAAGAATTATATTTAGGAAGAACAAAGGCAGATAAATGGTGCCAGGTACACCATTTGCCCTATAAATCAAATAATACAGCTTAGCCTTTGAAGTGCTCTCATGGAAATTAGCATGGAACATCTAAATCAAATATCCACTGCAATTTCCACTTTTTATGCATAGATCTTGACAGAAATCTGTTATAAAAATTTCATCAAAGGGTATAATGATGAAAAAAGAAGAGTCTTCTAAAACGAAGAGTCTTTTTGCCTGCTTGATTTGATACCACTGAGTTGTGAATTCATTAAGAGGCTTTTTGCTTCGTCCCCTTTGTTTGTCTCTGTCCTTGTCTCTCTTCCCCCCCCCATCAGCCAGTCTATCTCTCACTATAGATGTGGTGGAGCCTGGAGTAGGTCCCTGCAATGGTCACTTCAAAAGGTATTGGGGGGGGGAAATACAACCCTCCCTGAGCTCATTTTTTACTTTTTGGATTTTTGTGCAGAGCCACAGAGTCCCCTTGATCTGTAAAAAAAACCTGTTGGGGGAGACTATGGCCCCATCTGTGGAAATAAGTATCCGCACGCAGAGGGGACTTTGGGAATTAGATATACAGATTAACTGGTGATATAAGGAATGATTTAGCATTGATAGTGACATTAACTTGATCAGTTCAATAAAGCCAAGTAACACTTTTTTTTTAAAGGATCTTTGCGACTAGTGAATGGAGCCAACAGATGTGCAGGTCGTGTTGAAATATATCATAATGGCACATGGGGAACAGTCTGTGATGATGGCTGGAGCATAAATGATGCACAAGTCGTGTGCCAACAGCTTGGATGTGGATCGGCGCTATCAGCACCTGGAAATGCCTTTCATGGTCCAGGTTCAGGCCCTATTTTGTTGGATGATGTTAATTGCAGCGGAAATGAATACTCCTTGTCTCAGTGCCCTCATGCACCTTGGGGCAGACATAACTGCGGTCATCAGGAAGATGCTGGTGTCATTTGTGAAGGTATGGCTACATAACAACAATTTCTCTTGTAACTTTAATTATATTTTTTTGTTTTTGTCAATGAATTGAAGGATAATATTAAGGAAGGACAAAAGCAAATAAATAATGCCAGGTACAGTTTTAATTTGCCTCATAAATCAAATAATACAGTTTAGTCTTTGAGGTGATCTTTTGGAAATTAGCATGGAGCATCTAAATCAAATATCTACAGCACTTTCCACTTTTTATGCATAGATTTTGACAAATCCATTATAAAATTTCACCTTCTGTACCATTTCTATTTCTTCACTTTAATTTTAGTGCAGGATGTAGTTCTAGTCACCAGGAATGATAAAATTTGTAATGTACAGTGCATGAATTTATGTTGTGTTGCTTGGTTTTTATAGCACCATTTGAGATTTTTTCTCAAAGTGGAAAACTTGTCCAGCCAGCTGAACATAGAGAATTTTTCCATACCTAGTATAATTTGGTTTGTTCGACGTTTTTTCTGTTAAGTTCTTGATCTCCTGGATGACATGCGATATAATTGATAAGATATTAATCATCCTCTTTTTATTTAGAAGGAAGAGTAAATTCTAGTGCATCACCTGTTGCACAAACATCCAGTAAGTCATTGATCCTTTCTATTTTATCAAATTTGGTATGCATTCAAACAGGCCTGTTCCTTACTGTCAAAGGGACTAGGTTCTAATATTTCATAGCCAAGTGATATAGTGATTGTATTATTTCTTTAATTAGTATATTTTTATCCCACCTTTGCTCCATGGAGATGAGAAGGTTACGTGGTATTCCCTTCTTTCATTTTATCCTCACTATAACCCTGTGTGGTAGTTGAAGCCGAGAAGGAATGTCTGGCCTAAGGTCATTTTGTGAGCTTCATTGCAGTGGGGATTTAAACCTGGGACTCCCAGATCCTAGTTGGACATTCCAACCAGTATACGACACTGGATCACACTAATAGATGCTCTCCTAGTCTGAAGAGAAGCGTTTCTTGAATCTCTGGGGGTGTTTCTCCCCTATATGTATATGATTTGATACATATGGTCCTGCAACAGTGGAGGAAAGGCAATTGATCAAGTTAGCTGGGAGGTAGAATTTGATTTAATGGTGTGTGTTGTCTGTAGGTTCCACCTCATATAGCCATCTAATTCTAAAGCAAATAAGATTGCCTGTTTGTTTGATTTTTGGCAAAATAGTGTGTATGTTTGTGCATCTGCATTCCTATTTCTGTACATTTCCTTGTTTGGACACAGTAGCATGGGGAGGGGGCACAGGCAAAGAACTTACACATTGACTTTGGAGAATAAAATGGCCACAGCTTTATTGATTACACCCTAGGAATATTGGTGCAGCATAGGGGCTGAACCTGAATCAGGCCACCCACCTGCTGCCTGATAACCCTGGAACCCCAGCCCACCTGATGGGGTGCTACCAAGAAGTGCCAACCGCTGTGTGGTCCCCTTGCCACATGCTAGTGCAAGCCCTACCAACAGCCTCTGAGCTGGGCATGCTGCTGAAGGTGGCTCTACCTCAAGACTCCTTAAGGGAGTCCCAACACCATGGGATGCAGGCACACAGGCACTACCTCCCTACCCAAAAGGATCTCTCCCATGCCCAAACCACCCAGAACTGTGACAGTCGTGGAAAACAGTAATATATCCCATGACAACCAAATCGCATGGAGGGTGGGTGGGAAATTGTGGCTCTTGGCAATATAGGGGATGGGTGGGCAGGCAAAGCCCCCCCCCCAATTCTGCTTCTTAGAAAGCATGAAGGATTCTAAAGTGGCTACACTTTGGTCAATAGAAAGGCCTAGCCAAAGCAGAGAAAAATGGCTCAGACAATGTATTCCATTTCTGTCATAGTCACCTTAGAAAACCAGG